AAATAAAAATAAAAAAATAATCCTGCATATCAGGGAGAAGACAGAAAGGGATTGAGAGCTTGAAGGGGGCTGATAAAAGCCACAGGGACACATGAGTGCCTGGGTAACCCTTACAGTCACAGCGTTACACAGGAAAGCCCACTCTGAGACAGTAGCTTGGAGCAGCTATACCCAGACAGGGTCAGTACCAGGGTAGATTTCCAACCCATAAATTACTGGGTAAACTTCACGGAGTCTTGATTCAACTTGTCCCCACCCTTGCTCTCAAATGTCCTCAGGCAGATCGGGACCCCTCAGGTGACCTTGGCGCATTGGGATGCCTTGACCTTGGTAGCTTCACTCGCATGCAGTCTCCCTGTAAATTGGCCCCTACCCAGACAGTACCTGATGAGCCATTAGAGGGAAAAGCACCGCTCCAAGCCTGGCTCACACCAAATCACTTCTTCCTTCCTTTCCAGGTGCACGTGCTTCCGTATCCGTTCACCCACCATCAGCAATTTGAAAGGACCATCCAGACCCCTATAGGATCCACTTGGAACACTCAGAGGGCCTTCCAAAAACTGACTACTCCCAAGGTTGTCACCAAGCCAGGCCATATCATTAAGCCCATAAAAGCAGAGGATGTGGGCTACCGCTCTTCCCCAAGGTCAGATCTCTCTGTCATCCAGAGCAATCCAAAACGACTGTCCACACTTCACAAAAAACAGCTGCAGACAAGCACTGCAGACTAAATGGCCGGACAAGTGACATCTTGGTGCCCGGGATGGGGAGCCCTGACTGTTCCTCCTCTGGTCACTCGGTGCTGCGGGATCAACTCCAAAACCAGCTCGGCACACAGGGTGCACTTAAGCCACATTTTAGAAATAAAACCATTTGTATCTATGTAACGAGAGTGTATGCTGTGTTGTCCCCCAGTTCTATCCATTTCTTCAAGTCACACTTTGGGATGCGCCTGCTTTGCATTTTCTTATCAAGGATTATACAGCTGAGCCTAAATCAGAGTGGAGAAAATTCACTCTAGTAACCCACGGGTCAGATATAAGTCACCACAACGACCCATTTGAAGAGGTAGGGATAGTGGTACGCTACTGTGCATTTTGACCTCTGAACCTTGGAAAGCAGGATATAAACCATACCATTGGATTCTGCCCTAGACTGACCCTCAGACCAGGACGGTGCTGGGGCTGGCGTCTGTCCCCAGGTGGAGCCACCTTCACTTCCTTGCACACCATGAGGCCCCCGGGTTGCACAGTTTGCCGTCTTGAGTACCCAGCACTTTTTCTTCTCTTAGAACAAGACAGAGAGGTCTTAAGGTTACTTCACAGAGTAAGATGGGCGTGGTTTCAGAAATAAGCCTGTTTCCTTCCTAACTCAGGGCTAGCTCCTCATCACTGATTCAAAGGACAGCTTATCCAGCATCACTCTGCCCCATGCACTCCCACGGGCTTCTCAGCGCCCAGGAACCTGCCTGCCTTCCTAACAACAATGGAGGAAAGCCCTCTGAGCCCACTGCACGGGCCACCTCTGCACCTTGCCTCATGCTTTAGAATTCCACACTCACCCCAGCCTTTGTAGACCAAGCAGGTTCATTCTGTGACAGTGAAAGTTACATTACAGACCCCACCCAGAGAACTGCACGGACACGTGCCCCACTTCACACAGTTTCAGGAGCCTTAGAGACATGGAGAACCCCTGGCCACATGCCTGACCACTCCACGCACCAGTGGGATGGTTCTCTTGGTCGAGCACACCACTCTCCAGAATGGTGGGACCTCAAAGGTAGCTAGCCCCAATACCTTAATCTTCTGGCAAAAGATCTGAGTAGAGAGATACCCAGTGCCACACGTTAGTGACTGGGTAGGGACTAGGACTCCAGACCACCTCTGAAGCCAAAAGCCACATGACAAATCTCTACTGAGTTTCCCAGTGGTAGCTGTGGCTCTTGCAATTGCTCACCCTCTTAGGACACAGCCTAGAACTTAGAAGGGAAAAGATTAAGGTTGAGCAGTGTTCTGCGCCCAAAGAGCGCTTAAAAGTGAGCCATTCGCTTGTGATTCTGCACGATCCACTTGCCGGCTGACACTTAAGTCAGAGGGGAATAGGGAACCCCTGCCACTCCTGCCGCCTTCACTCCTTTGAGCACAAAGCTGCGCCCTCTGCCCCACCCACCCCCCCAAATTGAAGCGCCCAATCAAGTGCCCCCGGTAAATGGCCAATCCCCGTCTACTTTCTCGGGACCCTCCGCAGCTCCCTTGGCTCCCCACCGCCCAGGAGTGATGCAAACGACCCCGTCCTTCGAAGAGGAGGGCAGGAGCTGGAAGGTGCTATAAACGATGCCCCCTGCTAGCCTTCCAAGCCCCCAAAACGGATTCGATTGTTGTTTCGTGGGGCTTTTTTTTTCTTTTCTTCCTCCGAACCTCCGAAGTGTTCTCCCTTCCCATTGGCCGAAGCTGCCCCTTGACGCCACCCTGGCCTTGCTCGCTGATTGGTCCATTCTGGATGTGCCCAAGCCTTTTTCCCAGGGTGTGGCGCCCCCCCTCCCCGCCCCAACAGGGTTCTGACCCCTGGCTCCTCCCTTCCCCCCCAAGCCCCCCTCTCCGTTCCGAATGGTACCGCCCTGGCTCGGCTCCCCCCACGGTCCAGGCCGCTGCCCTTAGGGCCCCCGGACGGGGCGGGGCACGCTGGGGACGGGCAGAGGGCGGTGGTGGCGCCTTCCTGCCTAGCCCGAGGCCGCCCCCGCCACCCTTCTGCAGCCCTCGCAGGTCCCACTTTCCCCCCGG